GTTTTTTCTCCCTTCTCAAGACGGTTCACAAACTTGCAGATCAGTGCTGAGCTAGGAGGTGTGATCTGACTCAGAGCTAAACTTTCATTCAAATCTTGAGCTTCTGCAGATGTCAGAGAACATTTATTGCATATGATGATTACGTTATTTTTGTAATGCCCTTGTTTTTCTTCTTGATTCTTTGGGGCATAAAGCAGAAATAGCAAAGGGTATTTTTGACAGTCCGCTTTTTTCAGTGCCATTTTGAACCAGACAGTAACAGCTCAAGATACTTTGAAAAAAACCCAAATCCTTTTAAACTAGAGAAGTATGAATCCATTTATACAACCATCTGCCATCGAAGTCCTAATTCAAGACTTCCCTGGGGAAAAGTGACCAGCTGATGTCAGTCAGTCTCATCCTTTCCATCCCTTGTGGCTATATCAAGCCGGGCACACAAGCGTGTCTCCCTCTGAGAGTTTGCTGCTGCTGGTGCTGGTGTGCTCTGAAGCTACTTGAAAGGAAATAACGCTGTGCCTGGCTGTTTCTGAAAAATTCTGAAATCCGTGTAAGGGCTCCCTATCTCATTTTCTTCCACTAGAAAGTCCATCTGACACTCCCAGTGGGAGACAGAGGTTTTCTCTGCTCCTGAGAAACAAAGTACTGACCTAAATTAGTGGTGGCAATGGACATTTTGGATGCTTGATGGCCTGTGTCATCTTTTAGGATTTTTCTTGACAGGAAGGCAAATGGTGGAAAGGATGCCCCACACATTCTGGGGGAAAGCTGTGACTCCCTCAGGAGTCAGAGCTTACACTGGCCAGGGGAAACCCTGCTCTCTGCTGGAAGACCCCTTAGGTCTTGCAGAGTGGAAAACACATGGCTAGCAGAGAATGCAGTTGACTTTTGTATTTTGAGGGGCAGGTGTTAAATCTAGTAATTGCTGGTGCCAGCTGTGCAAATTTCTCTTTCTGGGGAGGGCAGCATTTTTAAATTTTTTTTTTTTTTTCATTTGAGGTACTTCCAATGTGCACATTGTGACAGGACTGAGCAAAGAGCTACTGCCTCCTTTGGGTGAGGTAGTGTCTGGGGGATGGTGGGAAGGCAGGGGCAGGTTTAGTTCCTGGAGCGTCCTTCTTTCCCTGTGGAGGGTACAATCACTGTGCTGTGGATGGGAGCTTTGAAGGAACCGATGGCTGAAGAGTGGCATGGAAGGAAAGAATGGGGAAAACGATCTGCTGTTTGCCACCAAGCATCTCTAACTTGCAAGAGTACACTGCAGACTAAAGACATTTCTTATAAAACAACAAACCTCCTCCCTGTATCACTCCTGCTCATTATTCCAGGCAGTACTGGGCCAGCCACACCAGGTGCATTTCTTTTTTTTCTTCCTTATTTCTGTGTGGCTGATGTTATGGGGAAGAAAGTGGAACTCATGATCCAGAGCTGGAGTTTTGTTATCCACAGACCTTTTCTGCATCATCTGCCTCTTCAGCTGGACATGTGAACGATGATGGTGTAGATGCTGCTGCTACTGCAGGGGTCCCGCCTGTTTTATTACCCTGCCCACCACCCCCCAGCACGGAGGGACAGCCAGAGAGGCGCCATGTACAGAATTGCATCTATTTCTGCTTTGTTTTCTGACTCAGAACCCTGCCCCGATGACTACGACAACAATGAAAACAACAACAACAAAAAAAGGGCAAATGCATTTTTTACATTTCTTGATAATTTCCAAAGCAATGTATCATTGCTTTCTTTAGACTGACGCCAATATAACAGTTGTATGGGTCTCAGCCAGGCTCCTGTGTCTTTTCTGCCTGATAGTTTCAGATTGCTGTATGAAATGTATGCGCGTTTGCACACAGACACAATCGTACAAGGTGACGGCACCGTGAGCCCGTGGGGTTGTTCACCTGTGTCATAGATGAAGTTGGAGGCCTTGCTTCGTATGTGTAGATGAGAAACCCCAACCCGTTGGTCCAGTGAGCTGGAGTGAAGCAGCCCTACTGAGGCAGAACTGAGTAACCTAAGATATATGCACAGTCCTGTAATGACTGTCCCCCTGGCAGGGGCCGGGTGGGGGAGAGGAACACTGAATGGGGAATTTGGAGCACAACAAAGTTTGGAAAATAAGTAGAATCCAGTTGGGGTGTTCAGGTAGTGGTGAGATTTTATCAGTTACTGTAATGAGAACTGCAGTGAATGTAAAGAAAATATTCCAGGCCATCGGAAGCCCCAGTTCCCATCTTACTAGCACAAGGCCGGAGGGCACTAGAGGCCAAGGAGGTTGTATTGATGCAAAGAACGTGGAAAACAGAACTGGGCCCAGAAAAATTTGTTTATATCTTTCCTCCATTTATTTTCTTCTCCAAAGAAGTCTAAGAAATATAAATTTCAATAGCTGCACAGGGTTTCTTTTTTTCTTCTTTTGAATGTAACAGAGTTTTTAAAGTTTTATTCTGGGTTAGCAAGCCCAGGAATCCAGAAGGTTTCAATGGGATCTCAGTCTGTGGAGCTTTGCTTTCTGTTGCTGCTTTGTTTCTGGACAGCTGAAACCACTACGGTCTTGCTGCTACAGCGCCCTGAGATGGGGCAGCTGAGGGCAGAAGCACAGCCAAGAGATATGTCCTGTACTGAAGACAGACTGGGCTCCAATTGCTTTCAGAGAAGTCAGTAGCATCACACCGGAATGGAAAAAAACCCTCTTGCTGATATAAACTTTAGTGTTCTAGTTAAATCCTCCATTCTTCCCCTGCCCCTTACAGGGGACTTGAGTTAACACTTGAGCATAAAAAACAGGCCTTCGTTAGGGGCACAGGGCTCGACTCGGTTGCCTAAATGTGGGCATCTGCTGCCACTGGAGATACGCTACAGTACTCTGCCTGGCCTGCAGCAGCTGGTCCAGAAAGGCACAGCACTTCCCCAGGACTGGTGCCACAGCTACCAGCCCCACGTGGATGGCAGAGATCTCGGGTGGCAGGAGACAATTAGGCAACTTAATCAAGTCCCTTTCTAAAGGGCTAATTGAGAGGAGCAGCACCAATGACTGATATAATAAGGGAATCTTCATTAACATTACCAAGGGCTTAGTTAGGCAGGATCAGGAGCTCATCTCCACACTCCCATGCTGTTGTTTTTCTACCCCCACGTCACGCAGACAGCCTCCACTCCTACAGCCTGAAGTTCACGGCGCGCTGCCCAGCCCTTACGTTAGGCCAGGGTTAGCGGCGGCATCCCGGGCCCAGCGGAGCCGGGGCAAGCCCAGGCGAGAGTAGGCGTCACTCCACCCAACAACAGATTTTTCTGCCAGCATTCAAACAGCCCCTTTCCAAAGCATTTTCCCTTTCAAGACAGACCCACAAACTCAGACACCATTCATTAGCCTCATCGTTTAGACTATGAAATACGCGTGGTTTTCTTTTGCATTTTGCTCAGCCAGGCGAAACGCAACCTCTTTCCCAACCAGGCTGTAACGCCAGTCTGCTCCCATCTCAAGCACCTAGGTAGACTGGCAGCCAATACTACCTAAACATCATCAACTTTATGATTGCTCGTTGAAGTGACTGGTTCAGGCTTATTCAGTCTTGACAGTCTGAATGTGGGAAGATTTCAGAGGAGGAGGAGACTGTAAATATCTCTTTGACAAACATTGCTGCATCACACACACACACAAAAAGGGGGAGATAGTTTTAAAACTGCCTTAAAAATCAATTCTGAATGATGAAATCTCCCTCCAAACAATTGCTGCTCGTTAGAGCAAGGAATAAGTCGCTTTGGGTGAATTCTGGCAAGAAGTGGTTGGAATCTATTCCAGTTTCAGGACTGAAAGTGTAATTTAGGAGCTGATCTCTCACGCAGTCTGAATTCACATCAGCACCAGTGACTGAGCATTGCAGGATCAAAACTGTTTAAGGTCTGGGGGGTACTGTATCTGGCCTGCATCTGCATGGTTTGGGTCTGGCCCGGCAAGGTACTGCATACCTGTGTTTCCCAGTGACTTCAGGGAAGATGGGGTTCCTCAGCACCTCTTAAGTTCAGGCCCTGGAGCACCATTTCCTGCTCTGATCATCAGCTATAAATGTTGATAAATATAAGTGTTTTGCCTTCATTTGAATTGCCCAGAGCTGTAAAATGACCTCTCTCAAGTATAAATCAGTCCAGATATAAACCTCCTCTCCCACTCTTCCCTACGCTCCCTGCCCACCCTCCCAGCCCTCCCTTGCACCTCCACCCAAGCCCTTCCCCATCTCAATTCTTTACCTCCTTCCACAATTTTATATCTAGTTTTCATGAACCCACAGAAATGCTTTTGTAAATAATGCTGTACAGTTTGTAACCGTCATGTAAGCCTGTCATCAGTGCCAGAGTCCGTCTTGCCCTCTCGCACGTTTTAAAATCAACAGAGGAAAGTTAGAGCGAATGGCCCTCCAGTGAGCTATAGGGTCATCTCTGTGTGGGACAAATGTATATTCCTGTAAGATTGCATTTTTATCTAAGGAATGATGTTATTTTAAAATTGCTAATAAATTTCTAAACAATGTCCAGATTTGTTTAATATTGTAAATGTTATCAGAACTCCTTTGACATTGCTCCCTTCTCTCAGCAGCGGCTGTAAAATAAGACAGCTTCCTGCAGCCCCTTATTTCCCATCTTCAGTCCCGCTGCCATTCATGGGCTCTCTCGTGTATTTAAGGGGCTGCAGAACAGTCTTGGACAGTCACAGCCTGCCCTGTTAAACAGTAACTTAGGAAATCCAACCGCTTTCTGTACTGTTGTCACTGCGGAAATTCTGCCGTGTCATGATGTCCAAAGTGTGACTCATGCATAACCACACACTTAACATTTTCTCCACAGGATTCTTTGTTACCAAGCATATGCAACAAAAAAATAAACGCCTGCAGCCTAAATACAGTGTAATTAGTAAATACATAAGCCATTAAGCTAATGGGACGATAATAAGTAACATACCACGCATTTACTTTTCGATTGAACAAATTTATTCTACCATGGATATCAAGCAATTGCGCTGCAATGCCAGCTGAGCAGTGTATTTCCCATCGCAGCACTATAAACCAGTGTACTCAATCCAAGTGCGTTAAGATTGAGCAAAATGTCTAAAGAAAAAAAAAAATGTTTTTCTTCCATTATGTGTATATATCTATTTTTTTTTTTTTTCCCTGACTTGCACGCAAATGTCAGAACTGCAGGCTTTGCTGCTACTATTAATTAGCGGCGCCACAAAATGGTAAAGCCGAAGAGGTGGTTAAAACCCGCGGATGTCATCAGCGTGAGGCGTTGGAAGGGCAGAACCGTCACCAGAAACCTCGCTATCTCCAGGCTCCGACCAGCCCTCAGTTAGATGTTTGCCACCACAAAAACCACACGAAACCGCCGCGCTCTCGGCTGCGAGTCGAAGCCCAGCGAACGGTTCAGCTTTGCTGAAAACCTCGCTGAGCTGGAAACCCGGCTGAGCTCCCCGGGGACGGGCTACGGCTTTGTGTGAAAACCATAGCAAAAGAGGGGTGAAAGCCGGCTGTGGGGGTGCTGCAGCGTGAAGAACCGCGCGAAACCTGCGAGCCAGCTGAAACACGGGGCGCGTCGGGAGCGGGCGAAAAGGTTTGCACCTCTGTGACTCGGATGCCTTTGGCGTAGCCCCACGACAGGGAAGATACGGCGTACGCCTGTAACGCTTTTTATTAGGGGGTCGCAGGCCGCGGCTGGTGTCGGGTTTTAACGCTCACGGTACTCCCCCGAAGCTAGAGGCGTGCAGCGGGGAGGATGAGCGCGCAGACCTCTCGCGTTTCCCCGTGAACCGAAGACTAACGCCGGCTCCCCGCCTCCCCCCGGCCCCCGCCTCTGCCCGCCGAGCTGCCTCCAACGCGGCCCCACCTCCCCTCAGGGGTCCCTCCGGGGCTCGCAGCAACGCGCAGCGAGGGCCGGGGAGGGCGCAGGCCCGGCCGGCCGCCAGCACCGGCTCCTCAACGGCCGCGCCCTCCCCGGCGAAACAACCGCCGGCCCTGCGGTTCCAGGCGGCGGGCGGGCCGGGCCGCGGCCCTGCCCCTACCCCCCCGCCCCCGCCCCGCCGCGGCCCCTCCTCAGGTGAGGGCCGGCCCCGCCCCGCGCCCAGGTCGGAGCCCGGAAGCCCCGGGGCGCTGGCGGCGGCGCTGGGCTATGGCGGGCGCGGGGTCGCGGCGCCCGTTCCTGCTGCTTCTCCTCATCTTCGTCTTCTCCGCCCCGCCCGCCGGCGCGGCCCTGCGGCCGCTGCTCAGCGCCGCGCCGCCTTTTACCTGCTCCCAGCCGGTAAGCGCGGCGGGGCCGGGAGCTCCGGTGGCGCCGGGGCAGGGGGCCGAGGGTTTCCCCCCGCTTCTGACGGTGCATCGCGCCGCCAACCGCCGGTGTGGCGGGGCGGGGGGTGGCGCGCTTCCCCACGGCCCCCCAGGGACGAGGAGCCGGCGGGCTGGAGGCGGGGGACGGGCTGGAAGTTGGGGTGAGGGAGCGGGTCCCCGGCTGGGGGTCGGCGCGGTCTCCCTCCCCCGGGCCCGCTCCCCCGCGAACGCCCCGGATCCGGCTCGCTCCCAGCCGGGGGCAGCGCTCCTTCGCGGAGCCGGTCCGAAGCGGAGCCTGGAAGCCCGGGCAGCGGGGGGGGGGGGGGACGGACGGACGGACGGACGGACGGACGGACGCACAGCCCGGGCAGGCAGCGGGGGGGGCGGCCGCGGACGGGTCCCCGCTTCCGAGTGGGTGCCCCCCCCCCCCCGCCCCCGGTGCTTGTTTTCCTACGGTTTTGGGGGGCTTGGTGTGTGGTTGGCGTGGGCTGGATGTATCGGGGGAACGGCGCGCAGCGCATAACCGCGTTAACTTAATGTTGAACCAGAATTATAAATTCCGCAGAATTAGCCTGGCTGCGTGATGGCTGCCAGGAAACGCCTGTCACTAACGTCTGTGAGGGGCCGTGGCTGGGATTTGCTAAAACTGCTTGAAGTTACTGAGCAGGATGTGAGTCTTTGCTAATAGCCGAGGTTGCCTAATGTCCTAAATGTTTTAACCTGTTCCTCGCAGCTGAGGGGCTTTTAGGAGGAAGCAAGGAATTTCTGCTGAAGGAGTAGCTAAACAAACGTTGTATGTACTTGGAATTTTGCAAATGCAGGTTTTGATTGCCCTTCCTCCCTGTGAAACCAGCTGGAGAGGGTATAGATTAAGAGGTGTAGATGTGGTGTCTATATAAAAAAAATGAACTAACCAATCTCCGCTAACTTTGTCACCCCAAAGTATGAACTTCTAGCTGGTCTCCCTCTCTGGGGGTCTTGGGGGTTTGGTTTAGTTCGTTTTGGCTTTTTTTTTTTTATCTAAGATACATGTAAAGAGTGTGTAGAAGGATGAAAAGATCTGGTTTTGCTTTTTATTTCTGTTAACAATAGTGGTGTGCTTGTGTAAACAGGATAATGGGCAGCTGTCTTCTAAGCTGGAAAGTTCTATATGTCACGATGCACTCTCAGCAGCCTAGTGAAGGCAGCTAATCAGATGTAGCTATAGACACGTGTAAATCAAAATGTGTCCTTTGGGTTGAAAGCTTCTACAATCTTTTCCTGTACGTGTTTCCTATCCTTTGTCTGTTCTGCCTCCTTTCCTAATGTTTGACCATCTACTTGCCCCTGTTTTACCTGACCTCTGCTCTGCTGCCTTCACTCCTGTTTAAAAATACCCCAAGAAAACAGACCACTTCTGCAGTTTTACTTAAGGCTGGCTGGGCATTGTGGAGTTACAAAACGCAAAATCTTAGCAACAGGGAAAGAGGACATTACAATATTGCTTGGGCATCTAACATAACCTAGGGTATCCCAAACATTATTAGTGACACAGAGCTTGAGAGTAAAACATTATAGAGTTTCTCTGAGTCCTTGGATGCTTGGGCTTTGACTGAGTGTCTTCCTGGCTGTATCTCTTTTTTTAGGGAACGTAAACCGCAGTAACTTGGTGAGGGGTTCACCAGTTCATCACCAACTTTCCCTGAGGAAAGGCATTGCCATGTAGTCTGGCTGTTCTCACAGATCAGTGAATGTGTAAACCTGGTACTTTGGCCTTTTATTTCAATAAGCTGTTTTCTAAAATAGAGAGAAACTTATGAATTGACTTAAGCCCATGAGCAGCCTGATTAGAAACAATTGTGAAGCTGCTGACACATATAGGAAAAAGTACCATCAGCTGAAGTTATGACAGTTGAAAACTATTTCCCCTTCCCTCTCAGTCAGTTGCACTGTTTTCAGAGGATGATTCAGTAACCCTTCCAGTGAGTAACTGCAGTGTGGTTCAAAAGGGAGGCTGTTGCTGAGCAGAGTTGGTAAGACCCACTTCCTTTTTCTAACCCACCACACTCATGCTGCTGTTGCTGAGCTTCAGAGTAAGTCAGGATGAGCAAAAGCAGTTGTGGTTTTTTTTTTTTTTTTTAGCGAAACTCTCATGTGGCAGAGGCAGTTTTAAAGGAAGGAAAGTGTCATATCAGTATTGGTAGACACCTGTAAATTGTAAAAGTAAAACTAAATGCTCATTATCTCATCTTATTAAAATGTCAAGAAATTCATTTAATGGGCCTTATTTACCACTGCTCCATCAAACCGGCTCAGCTGTAAGGCTGAATAGCACATCTGCAAATCCTGTTCATTCTAGTTACTGTTACTTGATCATGTCATCTGCAGGGAGATAGGGTTCAGGTTTGGGTTGTTTTTTTGTTTTGTTTTGGTAGGGTTGTTTGGGGTTTTTTTTTGTGTGTGTGTGTTTTTTTTGTTTGTTTGTTTGTTTGGGGGTTTTTTGGGGTTTTTTTCCATGCACAGGGAAAAAACATCCCACAGCTTAAATACTCATCTGGTTGTTCACAATCAAGTGTTTAATCACTGTGTTGGGTCATTGGGCCGCAACTGTTTCATGGCACGGCATACCTCAGTGTCCTGGGGGAATGCAGTGTTTATAACCCTGCCATCTTTAAAAGGCTGGATAGGTGTACAGGGTTTGGTCCTTAAAATCTATCTTGCCAGCTTGATGGATATTCACTAAAAGTCTCAGGAGGAGAACTGATATAACATCTCTCATGAAGATGAGCGATGGTGCTTGTGAAGGAAGACTTTTCCTGGTCCTCCTTTACAAATGTGTTCATTTTGCCTTTGCTATTGACAAACTTCTCTCGTTCCCCACCTGTGGCATCTTTTTGCTGTGCAGAATGTTACCATAAACCATGGTCACACTTAGTGCTGCTAAAATATTTCTGGACTTCTTGACACAAAAAGTATCAGTGGTCAAAACTACCAAAATATGATAAAGAGAACTTTAAAACTGATTTTTGTGAAGAAACTTCAACTTTTGAGTTTGAATTTGATTTTGCTGAGAATTTGTATGAAGGCAAGAGAAGAAAACTTAGAAACTATAAAGAAAAATACTTAAAAAAAAAATAAACAATTTTGTAAAAGATGGTTGTTTCCTACCAGCCTTAAACAAATCATCTTTCAGCAGTTATTCCTGTAATGTGTTCATACTCTATTGTTTTCTGCTTGTTTTAACTAAGGAAATCAGGAAAGGAAAACTACAGTAAACTTCAAATTGGCCAAGCCCCAGAAGATACGTAGAATGGGTCATAGGTGAGAGGCAGATTCTGGAAAGCTGGAGCCCTTTCTGTTCAGCAGCTGCTCTTTAATGGAAAACTGGATGCTTGCCCAACTCATGCCAGTTTCTTGCTAGCTTCCACAGCATTCTGCTGGGAAATCTTGGCCTCCTGTTAATCTAATTGTTATGGCATGGTGCTGTTAATCAGTTCCCTGTTCGTTTGTTTTGGGGTTTTTTTGTTCGGATTTTTATGATTCTCTGTGGCACATGGTCTGTTCTTTTTTTATGTCAAAAGCAAGAAAAATCTTGGGAAAAAAGAATGAAAGAAACAGTTGCTTAGTGTTCTGTGATTATATGGGAAGTAAACATGAAGAGTTGACTGTGTCTGTCCTTTTCTGCTGATAATAGTTCTGGGCATCACCTCACAATCATCTTGTTCTCGTATTTATGCCTCCCATGTCTGTAGCTTTGCTTGTTGGGCCTGAAAGGCAATAGGAAGCTGATGAGAACATCTCAGTTTAAGCTGCCTCTTCTATAATAATGTGCAGAGCATGTTGTCTGGCTGTGGGCTCCAACTTCAACTTTCCTGTGGAGCTCATAATTTTTGTTCCTTCTCCTCCCATTTGTCTGCTTGTCTGATGTATGTGGAGTGACACACATCTCAGTTCTGTCAGTACTCCTTACATGCTTCTAGCTTTATGTGGGTGAGCAGAAACAATCATCACTGTAATTTTGTTTTTATTGTATCATCTAAATTTGTGCTTGCTCACACAGGGAAACTAGGCTAAGTACTTCTGCTGACCACAGCTTTGCTAAAGCACTCTAAATGAGCCAATGCATCAGATAAGGTTTGGGTTGGTTGGACAAGGGAAAACCAGCAAGTATTCTCCCTGGTGCTGAAGAGGTAGTCAGTGCAGGCCTGGAATTAGTCCACTTATTTTACTGCAAAACTGACTTGTCTTTCTTTAATTGCTTCCTGGATTTTGGATGTCATTCTCTGGTATTATGCTTTCTTGGTATAAAAGTGTGCCCTCAGCTGCAGCCCAGCCCAGCCCCATTCACCTGGACAGTATCCAAAAAGGAGATGAGGGTTTTCATGGTGACTTCTTTCTAGATATCCTTCGGGGTTGTTATATCTCCACCTGCATTGTGGCCTTATCTTCTCCTTCTGTTATCTTTGCTTCCTTATGCCAACAGTGAGGACTTCCCGACTGGATGAATTGTTGTTCTGAGCATTTTTGGCTATTGGGTCATCCCTGTAGTGCTTTAGGGACTAGGAAGGGGGTGGGCCAACGAGTTGGTGCAGGCTGCCCTATGGTGGGAGAATCCTTCCCTGCTTCTTGTGGTAAACCTGCTAAATTCTTAACTAACTGATGGTGGCTTAAAACACTCCAACACACAAAAAAGGTTACTTGCACAGCAGGTGAACAGGCTAGTGTGGGGTAGGAAAAAAGCACTTGTAGGTAGCCCTTTGAAAATTCTGAGTGGGGCTGGGGAACACTGACGCACCAGAAAAGCTGCTATTTGTCCCCATAGAAACCTGGTGTTGAAAGGTAAGATATCTTAATTGTCAAATTTCAGTCCTGAATCCTCATCAACCGATTAAGCTCTTGGCCTTCTAATGAATGTCAGAAGCATAACAGTCTCATCAATGCTCTGAACGTCATTGTGAACACTTTACCTGGGACAATAGGCCTGGAAGAAGAGAGAATCCATTTATATGCTGTGCTGGTTCAATATTCATATTGATCATAAAACAAAAAAGGGGAAATGCATCACTTCCTCATTTAACCATGTCTTATCTGCTAATAAACAGGAACACCAGCACTCAAATGAAAGCAGATGTTGCTGCTCTTCAGGCAAATAATGCCTTATATAAATAAGGGCATTATCATGATGCGATTTACAATAATTACTGATAACTGCAACAGAACAAGGACAAAATTGCTGAATATTCAGTAATAGGTTTTAACAGAAGTCATTGAATTACAAACAAAAACTGATGGTTAGTAGCCTTTTGGGGGGTTTTTTGCCTGTTGAGGGTTCAACCCAACCAGGAGCTCAGCCCCACACAGCCACTCACTTTCTTCTGCAGTGGGATGGGGAGAGAATTGTAAGGGCAGAAGCAAGAGAACTTGTGAATTGAGATAAAGACAGTTGCATGCAAACAAAGCAAAATTCATTTGCTACTTTCCATCAGCAGGCAGATGTTTGGCCATCCCCAGGAAAGCAGGGCTTCATCATGCATAACAGTTACTTGGGAAGACAAACGCTGTAACTCTGTGGTTTTCCCCTTCCTCCTTCCCCATGTAGCTGAGCATTATTGCTGAGCACAGTGTCATATGGTCTGGGGTATCCCTTTAGTCAGCTGAGGTCAGGGGTCCTGGCTGTGTCCCCTCCCAAATTTTTGTGCACCCCCAGCCTATGTGCTTGGTGGGAGCAGTGTAAGAAACAGAAAAGGCCTTGATGCTGTGTAAGCACCATTCAGCAACAACTAAAACATCCCTGTGTTATCAACATTGTTTTGGTCACAAATCCAAAGCACAGCACCATACCAGCTGCTGTGAAGAAAATTAACTCCATCCCAGACAAAGCCACTGCATCTGTTTATGCAAGGGGCATTGTCAGCTTAAATCATTTACCTAAGAAAGTCTAATTAAGCATTTGAAGTGTTAGGAGTGATCTTTTTTATAGCTGAATCTGTTTTTCCATACTGGCAGTTACAATTTGTATTTTTCTCTTTTTCAGTCATTGTGATTTAGCTAGTTTTGCTTTGGTTTAATCAGCATTTGCTTGCTTGCTTTCTAGGATTTTTCCATTATCAAAGGATTTAGGTTGCAGATGCTATGTGGGAGTGTTTCAGGACAGGGAGGAGGGAGAAAGAAACCTGATTTGGGAGGTACAAAGTTGCAGTAATATTTCCATAAACTATACTTGTAACAAGTTTTTCTTAAGTCTGACGGGATCTAAATACTCTGTGGAGGACTTGTCTGTACATTTGTCTGCAATAATTAGCTGCAATGTAATTGTGAAAGTACAGTTCAGACTAAATTGGTATTTGTATGCAAATTCATCAGGCTGATTCCCCTAGTTGTGGCAGGCTTGACCTTTTGAGCACAACAAAAATAGTGAAAAGTACCTCTTACATGTCCTTACATATTGACATTAAGTTTATAGATTTATTTTGCTTTGGGTTATGTTAGAGCTTTTCTGCCCCATGCAAGGCACTGCTACACAGCTTTTGGGACTGCTTTTATCTCAAGACTCCCATCTAGCAAGACCCTGTTTGGGTGTTTCCAGAGTTGTTAGGGCCACAACCTAGCAGGGAGGCTGGGGATCCAACAGTGAGTTGAGAACTTCAAGAAGATCCAGAGCAAAGATTAAGGAGGAGGGTGGGTTGTTTCTGCAGGTGAGCTGCTAACACCTGGTGGTCAGGGAGAGAAAAAGGAAGAGAACAGGGTGGGAGAATGGCAAGGAAAGGTTAAGTGTGTCACTGTTTATCGCCCTTCCCTCCTCCTTTATAAAAGAAACTTTTATTAGTAGTGAAAAGTAATCAGAATATTTGTTCTGACTGTGGGATGTTGCCTTAGTCCTAACTTAGTGCACCAAGGATGATTTCATTTTGAAAAATACAACGTTGCTAGCTGGCTGGTAGGAAAAGTTCTGTTCTCAAAGTGTTACATAGATTTGTGTATATTTAGAAGTTCAAGGTGGCCAATAAGGCAGATTCCTTCCTTTGAACTGATTGAAATGTTTCCTAAACAATAATAAAGTTGGTCAGAATTACACAACTTGAATATCGCATTGAATCTTTTTCAATATACCTATATCTTGAGTACATTTGTAACATGACTGATTGGAGTGTAGATGTATTTCTTGTGAAGGGTGCCTGAAGACTGAATTTATACCTGTGTATTGTTTTGACTTGTGTAACAAAAAACTGGAAGAGATTTTCAGGTTTTATTTTTTATATAAGCATGAGGAGCTTAATGCCAAATCTGCCTGCTTTCACTCAAGGTTTGTAGGAATACAGATGCATTAGCTGAAATGTGAGCATTAATGTCTGAAGTATTTTTTTTCATAGTCAGTAGAACTCCGTTCACGTTTGAAATTGGTTTCTTGGCACAGCTTGTATGATATCTTATTTCATCAATTGCTTAAACTTGGTATTTCCTTCAAACAATAGGAAGCTGATTAATGTGATGTTTTGCCTTCACTAAGATTTCTTTAAAGGCAGCAGCATGTAATTCTGTCCTGTTATAAGCAGACAAAAGCTAGCACAGCTGTGAAAGAGCAGTGCCCACCTTGCTCCTCAGGCCTGGTGGTTTGTTCCCAGCTTCTCCCCTGGAAGCAGGAGCAGAGATGCAGCAGGGCAGAAGATGTGGTTCACAGCTGACCTCCCTCCCTGCCCTTGAGTGGGGTTCAGGCCGTAGCCAGGTGCCAGCGCAGGGCAGGCTGCAGTGCTGGCGTGTCTGGGGCTGCGCCTCTGGCAGCGGTGCTAATGCCAACTCCATGTCTGTGAAACTTCAAGCTTTCCATGCCACACTGGAGGGCGTGTTCACTACCGAAAGGGCACGGTTGCCTTTTTCAAGCACCCATCCCTGAAAATGTAAATATAACCCTGGATAGCCATGGCTACACAGCATTAATAAGCTAAGCCTCAAATACACGTGGAGTTGACCGTAACAAGTTGCAGAGAGGTTAAAAACCCTGCTGCCTTGCCTCCTCCACTGGAATGAATTATATTGTGTCAACAGTGTGACAGAAATATTCACCTTTGTATGTCAAGGCATAGAAAATGAGTGGGAGGAAACCTAACCCTCATCTTGATTTACAAAGTCAGTGAAAACTTAAAACATCCTTATCGCTAGGATTTTGTGTCACGTTAACCAAGCAAGGTTACATGCTTTTTCTGGGTGACCATGGGGTCTTCCAGTATAAACAAAACATACCTGGCAGAAGCCAGGCAGAGCCCACATAACTTCCAGTTGCTTCTTTATGTTCAGGACATCTTTATCATTAATATGAAAGAGTCTAATTCTGATTATTTTTTTTTTTCCTTCATGTGTTGCCTCTCAAATATATGTCTAGCAAATGAACTCATCCTATGCCACTTGAAAGCCCAGCACTTACTGAATGTTGTCTTTTCCCTTCCCTGCTTCTTAGGTGGCATCAGAAAAAACACCAGCCATGACTGACGTAGGCTTTCTGTTTGGGGATGCCCTGCAGTAGGCAGTACGTGCTCCAGCAGCGAGCCCAGCTGCAGAGGGCTCATGCTTCCAGTCACCTTGCAAGTGTTACCAGTGGTGTTTAAAAAAACATACCCATCTACTTCAAGCGGTCTTTCATGTCACACTGTTTTCTATTTTCGCAGTCCTGGATTTTGGAAGGTTTTTAATATCGTGTTGCATCGTGTTGCGTTTTTGCCTCTCTTCAATTTAATTCCATTATTGCAACTACTGTTGTTACATACACAGTTCAGGTGTGCATAGGTTTCATGCCCTGTGTCCTTCCTTTATTTTTTTTTGATTAACAACTTTGTGCAATGTTTCCTGATGGTTAATTCTTCCAGTTTGTATGCGTCACGATGCACTTACTTGTTTTCTTCCTTCCACCAAGCAGAAGTAGATTACTGTCAATCCAGTTTCTATTCTGAAAGTAATATTCTTGTTCTTTTCTCCCCATAGGATTTAAACTGCCTTGTAAGAAACAGTAAGTATTTTTTTTTCTTTGTGATTTTCTCATCAGATCGTGCATTTTTCTTTTTAAACTAAGTTCATACAGCAAGTTCGTCATGCTAGAATCAGAGAGGTGTGAAGCACTGCTATCATGCTTTGCTTTGGGAGTTTTGGTTTGATCCATAATCAGCTCCAGCTAAAAGAGGAATGGGAAATTCAGTCTTTTTCAGGATAGAGTTTGAGGGTGGGTTGGGTGGAACACAACTCAACTTGTTTAGTGTCTATTTAAAGCTGGGATGGTCAATTTTTAAAGAAACAGGAATTTTATGACAAGGTTTTCAGTAAACATTCATTACAAGCTATTGTATCTATGATAGCACTTGATGAAAAATTATTGTATGCACTAGAATTTAAAAAGGGGCATAAAGGGGTGCAGCTGAGAGAAAGTAATGTAAATTATCGGGCATAAAGTCCAGTGAATTAACTTAATCTTAAAGGTCTTTTCTAACCTAAATGATTCTATGATTTGGAAAAGAAAACTAGAGTTACTGTAAGTCCCACTGAACAAATATATCGGACATATGACATGTAAGGGGTCAAGTCCTAGCAATGATACACATCTGAATCACTTTAGAATAATTATGGGTACTGTCCTTAAAAAGAAAAAAGGAGAATGTTTTGCATCTGTCTGTCTGGTACACGGAGGTGTCTGGATAGTGCTGCAGAACTCCTTGGCCTTTCTTTGCAGTTGCTGTTCTGAGCAGGCTCCTTTCTGCCTCAGTGCCCAACCCTGTATCATACTGGCACAAGTATTTTTGTAGCCATGCTTGGCATGCCAGATCAGGGAGATTACTATGATGAAAATAATCAGATTTTAAACTTTTTTGGCAGGAGAGGGATTGGGTGGGATCGGATTGGATCATATTTCCCACTGGCAGATGGCCATTGGAATACAGCTTGACAACATGGCTAAGACAAACTGCAGCTCCACCACTGAAATGCTGCCTTATTTGAATATTTGTTTTAAATTCTGCCTTATGGTTCTTGTTATGTTTTTGTGCTCTAGGGAAGAGATTTATTAAATTTTTTTAGTGCTTAGTACACTTTTCTGAAAGGTACTTTAATCTTACCAGGTTTTCTATATATATATTATTTTGGTAGAATGATTGTCTAATTACTTCCTACGCCTAAAACAATGCTGTCACAAGAAGGATAGTGCCCATTTTCCACTGCTCCCACCACTGAAAGTGGACTTGGAGAGGAGGGGCACAGGGGGTGGAGTGCAGTGGAAAACTGCTGGGGGGGAAAGTGCTGCTCCTACCTGTGTCCTGCCTGCATCAGGCTGCACGCTCCCACCGCTTCCCCCGTGACAGTGCCAACGGCCGTGGGGCTGCAGGCTGAGCTGCTGCCTCGAGCTCTGCCTGATGGAGTAGCCCACCAAGGAAATGGGGAAATACCTATTTGGTGGGTCATTTTTATGAACCAAATCATCACACAGCCCCGTGATTGTTTGAAATCGTGCAGGGGAATATGTGGAAAATGTAGCCAAGAGAGCAACCTTTCATTAGCAACATGGATTTCTATCAGCTGAAACTGGTAGCAAAACATGTTCTGCTTTTGAGGAGTTCAACCTACAGATTTATTCTCTTGCTCTTCATTGTTCTCTTTTCAGTATTACAGTGGTTTATTGTGGATGCAACAAGTAGCTAAATAATATCATACTGATCTCTCCAAAGCCTGTATAATCATTTTACCTCTTATTTTCTTCCTTCTTTTTAAACATATTCAGTGATCACACTAGCCTATTCATATGATTCACAGATTGTATGACACAGCTCATGTTCATTAGTTTTTCTGCTAGTTTTTCAGCAGTACTGTTACAAATACTATTATAAGTTCTTATTAGGTAAATATAGCCTACACTACATGTGCTTAGATGTATCTTACAGTGTGTTAAGAAGTATTTTGTCTGAATGGGTCCAGTATACAAAGTGACACAGATTTGGGTTTGTTGGCAATTCTGCCTTCCCTTCCCCTCAAGTCTGACAGTTATCATATGCTCTATCATCACATATTTTAGATTTACTTCTAGATTGATATTTTTTATAAAGATGCATAGCATTGGGCCTACGCTCACCCCCACAGAGCTATTTAAGACATTTAAACAGTAATGATTTCCCACTTACAACTCCTCCTTGATTTGTCAGCCTAGTTCTTCCTGTGTTTGTGCTTCACTGGTATTCGGCAAAGCTATTTTTAATATGCTCTGATAAATCAAATGTCTTACAGAAGTCAAAGTAGATCATGTCTGTCTAATGCATGTCATACCTGATTTCATTTTCTGATGAGATTACAGGAACAGTTTTCCCTAACACAGTATTGACTAGCATACATCATTTTTCTGTCCAGAGAGCTCATTAGCTTAGGAAAGGCATAACAAGCAGTTGTTGGAATCTAAATTCAGGTGTATATTCAAATTAGAAGTAGACACTTTCTAAACAGGAAGTAACTATTGGAACAATTTCCCTGGGTATCTGACGGAATTCTTATAATTGGAAGGCTGGAAATGAGTATTAGCCTTCTAGCATAGGTCTGTTTCAGCAGCAAGATACAGACTTGCTGCAGGAGATCTTGAGTAAACTCACTTGACCTGTTTAGCCTGACTACATTGATTGTGATAATTACTAATGGATTTTAAGGAAAAGAAGAAGTGTAAGTTACTAGAATGAGTGAGTTCAGAATATTACAGGCAATTTATAAAGTACTCACATGCTGAAAACTGCCCATCTGAACTGTGAAGCAGTCTGTCACCCAGTTTTGCCCTCTAGTTAACCTTGACCCAAAGGATAGACATCTCATAATTGCAATTTAGCAGAGCTTCATTGGCCCTACTCTAAATGGTGGCTTTCATTTGTTGGACAGGTACCTGCATGGAGGCGAGCTGGCTCCAGTCCAAGTGGACTCCTTCTGCTCCAAGCAGTCTTAATGTCTCTTCTGACGTTTTCCGTCAGATAGATGGAAAACTGCTCCCTGTGCTTCGAATAGAATGGAAAGTGGCCACTGATGGTAAGTGGTGGTTGGTTGGTTGTTCAATGTGAACATGTAGCAGAGGAATTAGGTATGCTCTAGTAAGGATATGGAGGAGAACTGTGACTTGAAGTCTTTCACAGATCTAGTCAGGAAAGCAGACATTTGAAATTTGGGGGTTTAGCTGCCTCATTTTGTTTGTTTTGGGGGATGTTTTTTGGTTTTCCTTGGTAACTGGATTGGGCCTTTGGGTGTGCTGGATATTCAAGGGTTTAAAATGTTTCCACTAGTATGGGATAATGGCATTTAAAATGGTAAAAGCAGACAAAAATGGAATCAAGAGTCCCGCACCTTTACCACTGTAATGAGGGGAGAAAGGAGGTTCACACTGCAAGCATTGCCTTTTCAGGTCATAGTAGTGACTGCTGCATCCTCGTGCAGAGAAATTATATCTACAAACTGAACAGATGAGAAGTAATTTGAGAGAGCACAAATAAATTACGTGCTGTTAACCCAGTGCAAGTTCTTCCCATTTCAGGTAATCTAGTCCTTGTGACTTAGGTTTCCTGTATGCACACGTGTCTTGATAAAGGAATAATTGTCTCATTGCCGGAACCAAAATGAGTACCAGTAAGTCAAGTTTTCTCACACTTCAAATATCTTTGCCTGTGATGTTTGCCTTGCGTGCTCTTGTCCATGGTTTTGCACTGATTCAAGACAATTAAACACATTAATTTCTTCCTTCTGCAGGGCCTGTGTCTGAGGGCTGTACAGAGTTATTATCTCAGTATAGCTGTAGTAGTGTAGAAGCAGGTGTGACTCTGGTAACCCAGCCATTTAGCATACCTATGGTTATAAACTTTCTCATTGGGATTGTCTGTACCAAAATAAAAGCATTTTTGCTGTAGTGCCCAAACTACCTGAAGCAGCCTTGAGAGGCAGAGATAAACACAACACCAAACCTGTGGAACTGCCAGGGTGTCTGGAAGAGTGAAGTTGCCTTCTACTCTGCCTCTTCATTTGCACAGATGAGCTCTTGCCATGCAGGACAATCTTTAAGCTGAAAGCCGTGTTAGTCAACCCTGCACACTCACTTTTTCATGTCCAGTTATTTTTGTGTTGGGATCCTCAGCGCTTCAGAGGAGTAAGGCTGACAAGACCAGGCACAGTGTAATCTCTGTGGGGGTTGCAACCTCTACATGTGCAGATGACAGGAAAAGACAGGCATGTCTCTGTCCCTGTGCCTGCAGCTAGCATCCGGTATCTGCGAGGGGCAGAGCTGGCGGTGATGCAAGTGAACAGCAATCAACAGATCTGCGCCCGGTTTGACTTTCAGAACAACTTGACACTTCAGGTCCGTCCGGATGGAGGCCGGGTGAGTGCAAAGGGCTGTAAACTACTTTTTCTTGTCCGTGAGTTTGTTTCTGCCTTCGCTATCATACAGCAAGGTTATTGATTAAAAAGTACAGACTGCTTAGGAGAGTTGATGAAAACAATCAAGATACTGGTCTTTAGACCTGCTGTTGTTTCCAGTTTGTTTTACACTTGTGTGTAACCATGTGCAAGCTGATTACTTATCTTGGCTTCTCTTTCAGTCTTCCCATCCTTTAGGTTTCAAGAATTGCTGCTTTCCATGCCTAGCACATGTCGTCCTTCTGGATGTTGCTTAAAGCAAATAATTGTAGGGGGTTTTGCATTCTGCTTAACAGCAGTGGCATAGCCTTTTTAACTCAACCGTTCCTTTTACTTCCACTTCTTTCTTGTACACTTGCTGTGGAGGAAAGCACCAACCTTGGTAGCTTACACTCAGTCTAGGAAACTCATCAGAAAAACGCTGAGCATCCACAGCTCCCTTTATGAACAAGAGGAATCCAGAATTCATTGCTTACCATGCAGAATTTGGCCATAGTTAGCTTACCATCTGGGGCCAGTGCCTCTCTAAGAATTTGCACAGCATTGCTGATGTGGAAAACGGTATAGATTTAAGTAGATATGTATGGAATGGCAGAACTATATAAGTGCAATTCTAAATGCTTCGCACTTGCACAGTACTGCAAGTTTCATACTAGACTCAAAACTGCATATTTTAGCCTAATCTCCTTTCAGTTCAGAATGTAATTTAGTGGAAACTGCACAGTTGTTTGGCATAAGATTGTTGTATCAGCTCAAAGATCTCAAGGAATAACTGTACTTTTCTCATTCCAAACAGAAGAATTTAGGACAGACCAAGGGACTGTACATTTAATATGTTTCAGTTCCATTTTTTTTTTTTTTTTTGTAGATAAGCTTCAGAAAAAGGGTCATATGGGATGAGGGAACACAGTGGAACAGGGCCAAGTCAGCTGTTAATTTCAGTGCCTTTATAGAACAACATTCTTGTTTTAAGTCCTTATGAATGTGTTTTGTTTTCAGTGGAATTTCACTTTTGACCGTTTTGAAGTGGAACCTGGCCAGACTTACCAAGTGACTGTCTACCACCTGCCTAAACTGGATGTAAATGGAGACTACAATTGCAAGTCCATGTCTCTCACAATGCCTGGTAAGAGGTGTTCTCGCTCACTTAGGCCTTGAGTTTAGGACTATGATGGTTTGTGGACCTGTGGGTTAGGTACAGACCAGATCTGTGAACTGTGAGCAAGTTTTGCAATAGGGGGCCAGTATTATAAAAACCTGTTGTCCTTCCTGAATATTACTGTTTAGAAAGTCCATGGTACTAGTCTTATCTACAATACCCTTATGGTATATATCCAAAATGCATATATCATTTGTGCTACAAGTTACCATCCTTGTTCTTGGATCCTGTGTCCAAGATTTTGTTAAATCTCTGCTTGAAATAAGGTGCATGTGGAGGGACTACTCTGTGAAGGACAGACCCTTTGATTCTGGTTGACTAGTTCCTGCATGGAAGATATTGCTACAAAATTTTTATATCCTCTCTGGAAAGCTGGACAAAGTCTTGGACTTGAACCTCTGATTTCTGAGAAATTGCATTTGTAGCTTGTCAAGAATTCTGCTACAGCTGTGGCTAAAGAGAAATTCATAGTTAAACCTGAAAACTAATGTAGGTGCCTCTCTGAGGGGCTGTTTGAAGGTAAGTTACATCTCCTGTGTTTTGTTGCTGAAATGTCATCAGTGGAGCAGGCACAAAGATCTTTCATCTACATGAACGGGTCTGTAATCTTTCATGCTCTCTGATGACTATTATGGCTGCTTTTACTTAATTTGGAATCTTTTGAAGTTGCCCCTCTGCTTGGGAAAGCTGGAAGTACAGGCCAGAATTTCCAAATCGGAAGGAGTAAAGTTTGACTTCTAGTATTAAATCTTAGACATGTAAAGTTTGATTTTAAAGGCACGGTTAGGCATAAGTTACAAAGAAACTTGATAGAGCTGAGTGCCTGACACTTTCTTGTGTATGTGAAAATTTTCCTATAACTAAAAAGAGTTTTTGTGGTTTTCCCCAAAGATGCTGAGCATCTGTAGTGCCCTCTGGCTGCACTGACTAGTTTATAAATATTTGGCAGTCAATACAGAGCTTGAAAACTGGTTCATAATTTTCTTTTTAACTTGCTTATAGTTGTCAACGTGACTTTGTAATTATAAAATGGCAAAGCATGTGGTGTGTCAGTCAATGTGAGCTGGAAAGGGAGAGGAGGGGGCACTTGGTTTTCAGCCCTGTTTTTCTTCTTTATACCTGGTCACTCTAAGAACTGCCTGGGTTTTATCCTCCACTGTTCTTCAGAAACCTAATGCATTGTCTCAAGCTCAGCAGTTGCAGGCAACTTTGTTGATTAGAGCTTACATGTGAATTACAGGGGCACTGCAAATTTTCCAACTTTGAAAGTTGGAAGTTTAACATCTGCAGTGTTTTATTTCAGCTATTTAAGAAGAGAGTTGTTCCTTTTCCTTTGTCCAAACCCTAGAGGAGAGACATAGTTTAGGCTGAGTCTTGTAAATCCCGCTTTGCTAAATGTTGAAGATGTAACTCTGGATTTGACTCTTAAAAAACTCCCAAAGAGCAGGGTCAGTCTGTTAAATGAAACGAAGAGCGTTATAAATGTGGAAGAGTGTTTTGGGATCAAGAAAGATTCCAGTGTCCTAGTTTTCCTGGGGTAGACTGCTTTGGGAAGAATCTATCCCTGTGGCACTCTCAAGGTCCAGAGATCAATACAAAGTTTTAATTCCACTGTGAGCCTCTTACACAAGTCTTACATTAGCAAGGGCTGTCAAATATTACTTATTATAATAAGTATTGTATGTTTCTAGTCTTTTCTTATTATCTTTGGGGGAAAAACAAAAACAAACAAACAAAAAAAACAGCACACAAACAAACCAAAAAACCCACAAACAACCCTGCAAATATAACATCAGTGGTAACATCAGTGGATGGGTTAGTTTATACACTGGAAACCAGTACTATTCTGCTGCAGAATTTTGCTACTGCTTTGGAACAAAGGAACTGGTCAAGAAGGTCTTGATTAGGTGTCTGGATTCTGATAAGAAAATGGGTATTTTTTTCTAACTGGAAGTACAGTGTTTCTGACTAGTCACTGATGATCTTTCTTGCAGACTGCAAGGACTCTCTGATGAAAAGAACCGTCCCATGTATAAAGACAGGTAAAAAATAGTCATGTAGACATGGATGCTCTGTTGAAATATTTCTGACAGTTGAGAAACTTGGGAATATCTGCACTACTTCTAGGCAGTTTGTGGGAGCCCAGGATCCAAGGTAAAATTCTAGATGATACAACTCTACTTGTGAGCTTTAATCCATGGATGGAGTCAGCCCGATACCAAATTCATGTGACCAGTTTCCTGAATGAAAAGAAGTGTAAAATGATCACACGTGATTTCACTGAGGTAACTACCTTCCTAAATTATATCCATTTAAATGGTTGCTAAACAAGAACTTGGAGACATGATCAAGGAGATGTAACAAATGCACCTGAACAGCAATTTTCAAGGAATTATTTTCACAGATTTTTAATTGCCTTTGGAAAGAGGAACTTTATTTCAGGAATTTGTTGGATAAAAGATCAAAAAGAGGTTTTATAATGCATGGAGCAGTCTGTAAACATCTGCAAAGAAAAACAAAATTTGATATCTGACTATCTGGGCTTTTATTACATTTGCCAAGCCAATGCGTGAGGGATAAGACTAAATAAAATGACCAAAATTGATGTGGAAAGTTTCAATAAATCGTTGAAGTAGTTTATCAAATGTGATGGCGGGAGGGAGGGGAGGTGTTGATTAATTTTTTTTAGATCAAGAGAATGAGTGGTTTTTTAACAGATGTTTCCATCAAACTGAGAATCAATTCCTGTAGGTCTTACAGTCTGTGTTGTTGAGAAGCTTAAAGTAGATCCAGAGTGTCTTCTGACATAAGAAATGTTCCCCTTTGGGCATCTGAGGGAGGAGAAATGCTGAATATTTGATACTGGTCCCCGCCCTTCCTTGGGGGGAGGGCAGGTATATTAGCATTTAGTTTGTTTAATCTTTCCATTCCATCCACACTTAAACCCCTTTGTACTGCATGCACTGATATGTGTTATTACTGATGCAGCTGGTACAGCTGTGTGCATATTTCCCTGATAGAGAGGAATATACCTCATCTTGGAGTATGTATTTGCTAACCTCATTGTAAAGAATATATTTAGATTATCATGATACTGATTGTATATAGCAGGTAACAAGGGCAACTTATTTGTCTTGCTCTAGTGTCAGAAGCAGCAATGTTGATAGCTGGTTTTAATTAAACAAGGAAGCTTGTTAATGTTTACACATTAAATAACTGAAGACATTTACATTGTTAAGAAACTGTAAGTTTAAGTTAACACTTTTGAAGTTATACAGTGTACATCCTTAATTGTTTCCTGTTGCCCGTGCAACCTTAGCCTGCTGTCTTAATTGTATTACCGTGTCTGTCACACAGGACACCTGCAGTGATGGTGGCCAGGCCATTTATCCATTTTGTTCTCTGTGGGGTGCTTGTTAAAAAAAAAAAAAAAAAAATTCCGCTTCTTTGGACCACTCCAAATTCTCAAGTCAACTCCTTTTCTTTGTGCTTTCATTCCATTTTCTTCCTTCCCTTACAACTTGCAACTGATTTCTGCAGGGTGGACTGCAACAGCCAGTGAATGTCACAGTCAAAATAGAGAAGAACATAAGAGCTTGCTGCAATTACGAAATACAGGTAAAATCTCACTGTTGTCCCTGTGTCCTTCCTTCACCAACAAGGCAATGAGCATCTTAAGAACATTATGGTTTTTTGCACAGCTTTTTGTTCTGAGGTTGGCTAATGCCTAATTACCTGTGTCAGGGAAATAATGATTATGGCTGAAAGAGCAGTTTTTTTACATAGGTATTCTCTGTAGACAGTGGCTTTTCCTTAGTGTAGGGTTGCTAAGTCAGAGAATAGGGAGTGGGAGTGGCAAGTGTGCAACCTTGGGAGCTCACTGTCTTCTTAATGTATAGTGTAAGAATTTTTGATTAATCTTGTTTTCTGAAGGGAAATGGGAATTCTGCGTCCTTGTACTAAAATACAGGAAATATTGAGACAAGGGGGGAAAGTAAAGTGGGGAATAAACTTGCTTTTAAGAATAGCTTCTGTTTTCTGAATTTATTTCAACTGCAGATTCAGCCGTTCTTTGTGAACTGTGGCACAGACTGTCTGAGACATTCTGCTTTCATCCCATGTTCGACAGCTCCAAGTGAGAACTGCTTTTCTGTAAATTTGATTCCCATTGTCTTACGGGTGAGAGCTGAATTTGTAATGTAACTCTTGTCTTTTGCAGGTACAGATCCATCAGGTAAGAAGTTCTTCCAATACCCTAAAATTTTTTGGGCCGCTCTTTTCATGTCATATAGAATAACAAATGATCCTCTCTGGGAATGACTTGATGGGCAGGAAATGTCCCCTTGTAACACTGAGTTCAGAATGAATTGTGTTAAGAGTTACTTCACCATGATTTAATGAGGCAAGTATTTGTATGCAGTGTGAACCTTAAAGAGCACTTTTTTTAGAGTTACTTCACTTGCATAAAATTCTTTGAGAAACAGTTTTGACAAGAAAAGTCTTAATATAAAATACTTTCTGTCACTTTTCTCAGTGTTAAAAAATTTGCATAATATAAAGCAGCTTTTGGAGATAATAGCTTGCATATATTCATTTTTATGAATGTCAAGATAAATCATGTGCATAATGATTTGACATCTTTTTTTGGCTGCAGCAACACCTGTAAGGAGCTAGTTTGCCCAAGATTTAAAAAGAAAAAAACACCTGTAGATTGAAAAAAAACTACATTACTCAAAATGGTGGTTTGTTTTTTTTTTTTGACAGATTACATGAACAGGCAGGTCACAGGCAACATGCCTGTCAAAGCTGAATAAACGTTGCTATTTATAGGAAGGTTATTGATCTGTGTTTTCAGTGTGCTGCACATATGGTACTTTGGAGCAAGTTTATGGTGTAGAGAATCATCATCAACACAGGAATTTGTTTTAAGAAGGGACTGTCATGTGTTGTAAGGGGGAAGTGCTGGACCACCCATGGTTTTGGGCACATCCAGGGTCCTTCTCCCTTGACCCCTGCTGCTCAAGAAACTTCTGTTCTTTGGTGAATCTCTGTGTAAAGCAATGTCTGAGCACTATTTTTGTACTGCAGGTGATATGATTATATGGCTCTACTGGTGTATCACTGGGGTCTGTGTATTACTGGTGGGATCAGTCATAGCAGGTGTGATTTGTATGACCAAAAAACGAGCAGGTAAGACTCATACCAGCTAGGAAGAAAACATTCAATGCTAAAACTAATATTTTTCCTACTTCTATACCTATTCTTATTGCTATTTTCTTCCTTGCTGTTCTCATGTCTTGCCACTGAGATAATGCCTATGTAAACACCTTCTGTTTTACATCGTAGGACTTCTAACGTCCTAATACCATCCACCTAGTTAAGTAAAGCCTTCCACTGATTATGCTGACTGATACTCCATTTTCATAGCACTTCGGAGCTTGTGAAGAAGGAACTTCATAGTTCAGCCCTTTGTTTTCTGCAGATTGCTACAGATACCTTTTCCATTTATTTTGATCCTGCATTGCATAAGAGTTTTGCAGGACAGAATCTTCGGGTTTGTCCAGACTGTAGTCTTCTTTCCCCTGTCCCCCAAAGGCTCTACAAAAATTCATTTTTATACTATTTTGAGCTTAAATAATGTTTTTCAATTAAGAAGGAAGAAGAAAAACAGGACACAGAGGATGATATTGAGCAGGTTGGAAAATTGGGTACTTAAGGACTAATTCCTAGTCTTTTGTGCTTCAACCCTGAGACAGTTATCAAAGGGAAACTGTGCAACTCACTGGATTTTTTTTTTTTTTTTTCCTGAGAGGAGTAATTGGAAATCTTTTGGAAAATTTCTTAACATCGGACCTATCTATAAGATGTAGCTAGGGACATTTCAGTCACATCTTCAGAAAAGCCTCTTAAGAAAAAAATACATTTAATGAAGCCTCTTTTCCTTAAGGAGGAGGTAGCAGAACAATTGGGGGTTCTGTACTTCTTGAGGCTGGCCAGATCTGGGGAAGATGGAGAAAATTGGTTTTGAGTGCATTCCTCCTCCTCTCCTAGGAAAAAAGTATCAAAGTACATAACAAAAGTAGCTACAGAAGAGTCTTTAACTTAGTATTTTTCTTATTAGACTTCTTCCCCCCATGGTTTTATCCCTGCGCAATTACAGTTCATTTTTTTTTTTTTTTAACCCAAGGTGTTGTCGTTTTAAAGGTTTAATCTTACTTCATGTTTTCAGAATTGACAGTGACTTTCTCTCTCTTCCAGGACACCGGCGAGGGAAATGCAACCACAGTGATTTGCAAACTGGTAAGATGTCCTGCCTGTGTTTTACCAAGCACATGTAATGCATTCTGGAAGTCTCACACAATTGTCCAGAAGGGGCTCTCATAGGCTCTACTACTTTATAGGTGCTTCTCAAAACCAAAAGGTAGCCTTAGGATCTTCCAGTTTAGCTAAAAGAAACTTTGTATATGGAATTTGGAATGCCATATTTGCCAGGTGGGAGACAATTGCTTTTTCAAGTGGTGAGGCTTTTAACCTAGCTGAGGCTGTACTGGCAAAGGAACTTTTGCTAATCATCTAAGCCATAGCAATAGGAGATTGTTTTCAGGTGGGTGCACTCTGCTCTCCAGCAGAGAATATAGCTACTTTTGCAAGCCTTTTGAAGCTGGTATATTACTTGTGTAATGAAATTCCATGAGCTATCCAGGCATTATTATAAATCACAGCCCCACTGTATTCCGTATTAAATTTCTACAAGGAGATGTCTGCTTATGTTGCCAAAATAGCTTCAAAACTGATAGTTGCTAGAACCTTTTGTTAATACTCTCCTATGTTGATTGCACTGGCTTGCACCATTACAATTTTGGGAATGTGGCTGGGACGAATACTTTTCTGTTTTTCAGCAGCACCATATACCGACCTTCCTCTGCCACCCTTGAAGCCCCGAAAGGTTTGGATTGTGTACTCTGCCGATCACCTGCTGTACGTGGATGTGGTGCTGAAGTTTGCTGAGTTTCTGATGACGGTCTGTGGCACTGCTGTAGCCTTAGATCTGCTAGAAGATCATCAGATCTCAGAGCTAGGGCCGTTACCCTGGCTTACTCGACAGAAGAAGGAAATGGAAGACTTGTCTTCAAAGATCATCATCTTATGTTCACGGGGCACCCAGGCCAAATGGCAGGCCATGCTTGGGAGTGAGCCTGTGTGTCTCAAGCAAGATCAACAAAAGCCAATGGGAGACCTGTTCACCCCAGCCTTGAATTTGATCCTGCCAGATTTCAAGAAGCCGGCCTGTTTTGGAATGTATATCGTCTGCTATTTTGAGGGGATAAGCAGTGAGAAAGATATACCTGATCTGTTCAATGTCACATCCAGGTACCAGCTGATGGACAAGTTTGAGGATATTTATTTTCGGATTCAGGACCTGGAGAAGTTTGAACCTGGGCGCATCCATCGAATCCGGGAAATCACAGCTGAAAATTACATCGATACCCCTAGTGGGAGAAAGTTGAAAGAGGCAGTACAAAAGTTCAAAAACTGGCAGACAGAACACCCAGACTGGTTTGAGAGTGAAACCATCTGCTTGGATAATGATGAAGAGCTGCAGTCTCTGAACAGAGAGAGCCAGGTAGATTCATTGCTAAGTGAACCAGGTGGAATTGTGAAACACCAGCTGCACCTACGGGAGCCTGACCCTAACTGCTGTTATGTCATCAACCTCCACATGCATGAAGGTGAAAATAGAGGCTGTAAACTGCAACCTCAACTTAATCCATGCAGGGATCCAACTTCTCAGACTATGGTCCTTCCTATGGATGAGGCTCCTCTAATTCAGGTAGTGGAACCAGTTTCTTCCATAGAAACTGGAAATATACTTGGTCACCATGTGCTGAGTAACGAGGACTGTATGGAAGGAGTTCCTCTTCTGGAGACAAGCTTTCCAATGAGGAATAACATCATCCTCCACAATGACCCTGAAATTTCAGCAACTGATGACCAGAGTTCTGCAAACCTCTCAGGTGAACTGAGACACCATCTGAATGGACTCATGTACTCTCTTTATCAGCAGAGTGTCATTCCTTCAGAGCCACCTCTCTGCCAAGAGGAGGCTGACAAGCAACACCAGTTGGTTTTTGATGACCAATGCAAAGACCAAAGACAGTCAGTGCAGTCAGACCAGGGCTACATCTCTAGATGTTCTCCTCTGCCTCCTGAGGACCTTGTGGAGGAGGAGGAGGAGGAAGATGAGGAGGAAGAGGATCAGGAAAAACAGGTGGTCTTCCATGAACTCTCTCCAGAGGTCTTGAACAGTTTAAAAAGCCTCCAGCAGCAGCTGTTTTTCCAGGACATTCAACGGAGCTCTGACTGGGGGTATCCAGCTGAGGTGATGGACATTGGCCAAGCTTTGGAGGACTGTTAGGCTCTATGTGGGACCTGCTCCGTTTGAAATACAGGGATGGAAGGTGGTTCCATGCACAGTGCTGAAACTGCATCTCCAACACCATCCTTGTATTATAAATGACTTACCAGTGGGACCTTTGTGTCTGCTGCTTGGAGGCAGGATTGCCCAGTCAGACTGGTAACGTTGCTTTGAATCTCTGTGGAGAGAAGCAATGAATATTGGGCACCCCTGTGAAAGAACAGGCAGTAGTTCTGTTCCTTGGGAAAATGTGTTACATTGAGTCCTCACTGACAGATGGCAGAAAAATTATTGTGGCTCACCCACTTGTGCCTTCAAAATGCCCTCCAGCTGTACTGTTTCTATTGCACTGGATAGAAGTCATGGCCAGGGTTTGGAAAATGGGTTTAGATAACATAGCAAAACTTGCATTGCCATTTTAATACACAGTTCAACTATTTTGCTGTAAATACCGTGTTAATGATATGTGCCTTAAACTTCAGCTAGGATAGGGCTGTCCCTACCTGTTTGATACATGTATCTGAAGATTTTTTTTTTCTTTTGCCACTCATTCTTTTATTTGCAACTGCATTTTCATGGCCATTCAGAAATCAAGTAGAGTAACTGAGTAGTAAGTAGAATAAGCTTTTAAATTCAGAGCCTCTGTAACTGTCCCTAGTGGGAGGTATGTGCTTGAAAATGAGCAACAGGAGGAAGGGGGAAAAGGGGACAATGGACCCAAAAAATGGTATTCAGACTTGCTATGCAAATTATAAGAAGGATCTGGGGCTGAATATAGAGTTACTGAATCAGGAGAATCTGGTATATTCTATAACGCACTGCTGCAGCACTGTTTGCTTTTGGACATCTTGGCTCCAGGAAGACTTGAAGATGTAGATAGTGACATGCAATTAAGGAAATTAAAGGCTATTTTTGAGGAGAAAAAAGTGTAGCTTCAGCAGATGCAGTTTTAGAGTGGAGATTATAACTGAGTTAGGGGAGGCTGAACTAAAATGATTTGTAAGATGTATTTATGTGGGTATAAAGTCAAGCACAGGTAGTTAAGGTTAACCACTGTGAAATACTTAATAGACTAAGGAATTCATCTTCCAGGAGCAGTGATGCTAACTGTATCAATTTCAGTGTTTTTTAAAAATTGGGCTTGATGCACTAGAAAAATTTGTTTCCTGTGAGTGATTGCATGTTGGCCCTGGTAGCACTGACTGGATAGCAGACTAGTTGATGCTGGCATTTACCCTACCTGTCATCTCGATTTCTGCAATCCAGCCCACTGGATAACAGCCTGTGAGGTGTAAATGCATCCAGGCCTTTCTCTTTTGTGTTCAGACAAGCCTGTCCTCTTCACGTCCTTCTAAGTTTGCTTGTCAAAAAATATTAAGATAACTTTATTTCAGCTTTTTAAAAATTTGATCTCTCAGGAGATAATCTGTTCTTTTGACTTGCAACCACTATTGTATTATGTATATTTTATAATTTTATTTGTTTTATAACTTGTTTTGTTCCTTAAATTAAAAAGCAATAATACTTTTGGATATATTTATTTGAACACTTTTATGTCCTCGATCCTGTTGGTATTTCTTATAGAAATCTGAGGCAAAACCAAGAGCCAGATCTAAACTGGCTGACAAATGCCAGAACATTCCTGCAGAGTGTTGCAGCTGTCTCCAGCACAACTGAGCGCCCTCAAGTGCGGGAAGTGCGTTCTCCATCAAAATGGGTATTAAAGAAGGGAAGTGTTTGTAACTTCTGTGCAGGGCTGCTCAGTGAGGCAGCACTTAAGACAGCTTGCTTTCTCTGCCGCCAGATGCCTAGAAGGACTAACAAAGGGGCGGGCCCTGCACAGATCCAAACTTAAGACCGGGTGCCACCTTCGCTTCCCGCCTGTACAGAACCCAGCCCAGCAGGAGCTCGGCCAGAGGCAGCAGTGATCTCCATGCTTCTCCAGTGAGAGCCCCTTTCTCAGATTATGTGAATAACTGTCATCTTGATGATCCCACTTCTTAAAGTTTCTTTTATCTTACAGCAATTAACATGTAAATCTGTTTGGTTTTTTTTTCTTCCCCATGAGCCTTCTTCAAGTGCTATGAATTCCCATAAATCACTTAAATAGGAAGCTCAGAAGTGTCATCTGGATTTTCTTGCCTTAGTCATTCCCTTATCAAATAACTCCCTTGGTGTTACAGCTTTTAGAATTCACTTTCACTCACAAGAGGTTTGTTTGAGGGAAAAAATCCAGACGTTGTTTTAGCAATCCAACATGAGGAAATCAAGTAACTTTAACACATCTGTTGGTCCCTGAATGCAAATTTGAATAGCCCAGCAAGACTCAAAGGAGGGAAAAAAAGAGCAAAATAAGTCACAAGTTTCTAATTTTATTTTAACAATCTTGCTTTTTAAAAAATACAAGTTCTGATTAATGCCAGGGGGATGCCAAGTGTCCATTGGCCACAGGCCTCATCTCTCACTTCAGTTTCCCCTCCTGGGAGTAGTCATCTCTTTTGTCAGGATAGCAAACAGAGAGCAATAAAATGCTAAATAGCTGAGTTGTGTTACAAGGCTTGTAACAGAATCCCAAGGGACATATGTCTTAGTATGGCACAACTTTGTTTAGCAAAGTGTTATTGACCTGGACCAGTAATTTAATGCTGGCAGAATATACAGTAGGTGTGCAAGGTGCATAAGGTGAGGTATTGTTTGCACTTTAATGGTACCTCTAGCTCTCTCTGCAAATGGATCTATTATGCGGCAGAAGGGTTTAAATGGAAGTGAGAGCTCAATTACTGAAGAGAAAGGAATTCAAAAGGAGGAGCAGGCTTATAAACAAAACATTGAAGAGCTTTAAATGTTTCTCTGTTAAGAAGTAATCGAAGTGGCAGCCGAGCTGCCCTTTCAGTTGCAAGGGGGCTTCTGTGTACAGCCAACTACTACAAGAGCTTTACGCTCTCCAAACAGCACATTGACTAACAACCTAGAAACCATGGCACTACAAAGAACCACTTTTTCTACAAAGGAATTCTATGCAACAGAAGCATCATTTTTCAGGGTCATCAGTCCCAGGCAACCTTTGCATCCACGGACAAATTTGAATTGTGTTTTCACTGTCAAGGGTTTAAATATGCCATGGCTAGATAAATTTCAAATATGCCATTTTCTCAATAATGTCTTAAATGGGAAAAGGCACTGGCTGTTGAAACAGCAACTTTGTTACGTGCTTTAAAGGGGCACTGAAGTAAGACTTGTTAATAATTCTGTTGTGATTCTTCAAGTGTCTCAACTATGCTTATGCTTCGGTGTATTACGGACGTTCTTCTACGTGCTTTGGTGCTACTGTGAACTTGGCCGTAGGAGCAGCAAAACATAGTTGGGGGGTGAATAGCTTTTCCTTCACTTTGTTTCTTGGCAAATTTGCTTTGTTTTGTTTTTCTTTTTCCTTCAGCTGCTTGACTGAAGCATGGAATACTCCTGGGTACAGGTATCATCTCATTCTCTCTTGAATAAAACTGTAGTTCTTTCTGAGCTTTTACTATCTGTTTAATGCTGAAAAAGGAAGGTGCAAGGAAACAAATATCTGTACAAGCATAATATACCTGTGATTGCACCTCCTTTGGCCAGGAACTTAGCATCCCCTCAACACATCTCACATCACATAGGAAAAGTTCACAGTACCAAGTTTTACAATCACAGTCACTCACAGCACCAAGATTGTCCAGACGAAAAGAAGTTACTGAAGAGAAAGGCCACTGGCCAAAATTCACACAATTGCCCATGTAAGGGCTCAGGTTAAAAATAAAGCACTGGTGGGAAAGTTAAGCCTAGCCTTTGCCAGCTCTCCCTTTGGTGTGGGGAGAGCAGTGAGTCACCCATCCCAGCTGCAGCTCTGAATGGAACAGCACTATTGCCCCATCTTTTCCAGGGGCTCTTTTTAGCCCCTCGAAACTCATCAGCCACCCGAGAGCTGGGGGAGAAGAGCCCCATGGGAAGAACCCTCACTTCTGCCTGTGGGAGCTGGAAGTTGCCAGACTGTAAACATTTTGTTGTAGCAGTCCCCTGGAGCAGGCAGTTGATCCCACTCTGTAAAAAGGGAGGTGGGGCAGAGGCTGGGTCCCACTGAAGCCCGAGCCCTGAAGGGGAGGATGGGTATGTGTGCAGAAGTCTGGGCTGCACCTGCAGTCCTGCTGTTGGCTCTGGGTAGCAGCTGGTTGCGCTTCATTTCCCCTTCCCATCAGGACAGCTTGAAAAAAGGCTCGGGACAGGCAACTGGTGTTTTCCCAATGAAAGCAGCCTTGCCCGGATAACAAAATATAAACCTGGAAGGGGCAAAGTCCTTCCTCCGAACATGGCCTCTGTGCTCCTGCTTCCATTTGGCTGGTCTCAGGAGCAGCTGTAGCCAGGCAGAAGAGCAGGCCTTAACCCCCACCGAATACTCATGGAGCTTAAAACCAAAGATAACTGTGTTTCTATGAGAGCTTACTAACAATTAACTTTTTCCCCACCTACCCTTAACCACATGCACACGGAGGACAGGATGCTGGTCTGTGGGCTTTCAGCAAAGCTCGGGAGCCCCTCTGCCTCGACGGCCCCTGCAGCGCTTTGCTTTCTGCGCTGAAAAGGGAGGTTCACCGAGCGCAGGGCCCACCCCGAGCAGCGCTGACATCCTCTGCTCCGCTGTTTGAGAGGGGGCACGTTGGAGGCTTAGCCCCCGGCTCTGCGCTCTCAAACAGACATGGAAGGGGGCCAGAGGAAACCTTTCCAGCCTTCCCGGCCTATGTAAAGGGAGATCCTACGCTCTGCGTAAAAGAAAACCAACACTGATCCCATAAACATGCATATTCACAGAGAAATGAGAGCCCCCCGCACCTGGGTGCTGCCCTCTGAAGCAAGCAGTAGGCTGCTGTAAACCCTGTTCTCACCAGAAATAAATGTCTCGGTGGTGGTGAAATGGGGACTAAGCCCCTGGATTATGTCCATGCCGGATTCATGTGTTTCTTTAGCGCGTGAAGTCAACATAAGATGCAAAAGGTTGAAGCACAGAGGTAGACATTTTCGGCTTGGAGAAAGTGGCTCCTAGGCTTGAAACGGCCAGACGGCCGGCGTGCTCCCAGAGGTTCCCAGCTGCTACGCCAAGGCCCGCTGCAGCTCTGCTGCTGGGAAACAGAGGCGGCAGCTTTGCAAGACCTAACGAAACCAAAGTGTGCTTCCTTTTGTGCTGCCCGCACCCCGAAGGCACGCCTCTGCCAGTCAGGCCCCTCTCACATCTCGGCGTTGTGGTCAGCAGTTCTTAAAGGAGGGGACAAAATCCACTGGTCCCTGTCGTTTAGGAGGAAAAGGAAAAAAAAAAAAAAAAAAAAACAAAAAAAAAAAAAAAAAAAAACAAACCGAAACCTTTATGGTCACAAAGCAACATGATGTCCTGGCGGGGAGCGGGAGGGGAAGAGTGGGACCCTCCAGACAGCATGGAGAGGCAGAAGCACTAGAAGAAGACTTGTCGTGAAGGGCAGGCGTGTTCGCCGGGGACGAGCGTCAGCCGTAGGCTCCTGCAGGTAGTCGGGTTTGCGCTGAGCTTCCGCTGCTGGATCTGTCCGCGGGAAAGGGAGGAGGAGAGCGGGAGTCCGACGACGGGGCAGCCCGCGCCCCCTTCCCCTGCTCGGCCACGGCGGTGGGAACCTGAGCAGAAACGCAGAGAGACTCTGCCGGGAGCGGACCCGGAGGCGGGGGGAGCCCCTCCGGGGGCGGCGGCCGGGGCGGGAGGGGTGGGGGGGGCTCAGCCCTGGGCGGTGACCGCCAAGGCGTTCACGTACCCGTGGGGGCCCACGTCGGCGTCGGAGAGCCCGTGGGCCAGCGGGGCGGCGGCGGCGGGGGCGGCGGCGGCCGGGCCGTACTTGGTGGGCGGCGGGCCGGCGGCGGGGCGGAGGAGGCAGCAGGTCTCCAGCGCCTCCAGGCCGCGGCAGGCGAGGAAGAAGAGGTTCTTCAGCATGAAGAGGGAGAGCGGCTGCTGGTAGCGCAGGAGCAGGAGGCAGCGGAGCGCCAGGAGCGGGGCGTCCAGCAGCCCGGCGGGCAGCAGGAGGTGGAGGGCGAGGCGGGCGGCGCCGGGGGGGCGGGCGGCGCTGAGCTCGTACAGCCACAGCACCGGCGAGGCCAGGCAGAGGAAGTAGACGGCGATGAGGAGGTAGCGCAGCGGAGCGGGCAGCGGCGCCGGCCGCCCGGGCTGCAGCACCAGCTCCAGCAGCGAGAAGCTGTCGAGGAGGTCGAGGCAGGTGGCGAGGAAGGCGGCGGCGGCGCGGTGCTGCGGCGGCGGCTGCGGCGGCAGGAGCAGCTGCCCGGCGCCCTCGGTGCCGATGGCCCGCAGCAGGCAGTACAGCAGCGGGGCGGAGAGCGCCAGGGTGATGCGGAAGCCGGTGGTGCCCAGCGGCAGGCGCAGCTCGATCAGCTCCAGGATGGAGGTGCCCAGGATCAGCGCCGCCTTGGGCGTGAAGGCGATGGAGTAGATGAGCCAGGCGAGGTGCGCGTAGGCGAAGTCGCCGCCGCGGGGGAGGGCGCCGGCCCCGCGGCCCCCGGCCCCGCGGCCGCCGGGGGGGCCGTGCAGCAGCAGCGGGTGCGGCGGCGGCGGCCCGGGAGGCGGCGGCGGGGGCCGCTCCCGGCGGCGGGCCCGGCTGTTGCGGCAGAAGAAGATGCCCCAGCCGGCCGCCAGCACCAGGTCGGTGGCGATCCAGCTGCACCAGTACAGGTCGGTGACGGCGATCAGGTAGAGGTCCAGCAGCGCGCCCTGCCCCAGCAGCAGCACCAGGGACAGCGCCTGGAAGCCCCAGCGCCGCCCGCCCGCCGCCCCGCCGGGCCCCAGCAGCGCCCCCGCCGCCGCCCCGCCGCCGCCCGCCGCCCCGCCGCCCGCCGCCGCCGCCCCGTACAGCTCCGCCGCCGTCATGCTGCGGCCCGGGCTCCCGCCGCCGCCGCCGCCGCCGCCGCTGCTGCTGCTGCTGCTGCTGGGGAGCGGCGAGGCGGCGGCGGGCGGCGGAGAGGCGGGCGGCGGCACCAGGGGCTTGCTGATGCTGATGCTGTCCTCCTCCTCCTCCTCCTCTTCCTCTTCCTCTTCCTCCTCCTCCTCCTCGGTGCTGCTGCGGGGGCTGCGGGCCCGCGCCGAGTCCGAGCTCGACCCCGAGCCCCGCCGGCTGCCGCCGCTGCTGGAGCCCCCCGGGAAGAGGGGCTGCCGGTCGGCGGCGTGCGGCGGCGGCAGCGGCGGCGGCGGCGGCGGCGGCTGGAAGGAGCCCGAGGAGGAGGAGACCGAGCGCTGGTTGGAGGCAGCGCGGTGCATGGTCCTCCCCGGCCCCCGAGCCGGCGCGCCGGGCCCGACGGCCGCGCCGCGGCCCCCGGCCCGCCCCCGGCCCGCCCCCCGCGCCGCCGCACCGGCACCGGCACCGGCACCGGCGGCGGCGGCGGCGGCGGCAGCGGCGCGGAGAGCCCGAGCGGCGGGGCGCGGCGGGGGAGGCCGGGGGCGGTGCCGAGCCGCAACCGCAGCAGCTGCCGGAGCCGGGGGGGGGCGTCTCCGCTGGCGGCGGGGGGTGGGCTGGGGGTGGGGGAGCGGAGCGCGGCTGTGCGGCGGGGGGGGGGGGGGGAAGGTCGCCCCCCCTCCCGGCCCCCCCCGTCCCCGGGGCTGCGATGGAGCCAGATCTCGGGGAGCACGGCCCGGCTGCCTCCTGCCCGCCCCCCACCCCCGTGAATGGAGCCAGCCGGGCCTGGGCGAGCCACCCATGGACGTGCCACAGCCCCCCCCCCCCCCCCCAGCACCCACTCCAGAAAATCAGAAATATTTCAGTCTCCCCCCATCTCTCTAGGCTGACCAGGACGGGGGCCCGTGGCCTGGTGCAGAGCCTGTGGAGAAGCACTTGTGGCTCCTCGTCTGTGGCGCTGGCCGTTCGGCTGCCCGTGCCTTCGGTCTGTTGTAAGTAATTGCACATCAAAATAAGTGGCTTTTACCCCACCAATCTCCCGAGCTGAGCCAAGCCACGTACTGAAGGCTCTGCCCAGCTTGCTGTTGATGGCATAGTGGCTTTAAATTGGTGTGAATAGCCCTGAAGTTCCTACTTGTACAGAAAGCGTAAATCAGGGCTTCTATGACCCACTAATAATGGCCTGGAATTGAGGTTGGCCGGCTGGATCTGCCACAGCACCAGCACTAGTGACTTGGTACATCATGTTCCAGAGCGGCTGGGTGCTCGGCATCACCAGTCCCTCGCTCTTCCCTGTGCCCACCAGTGACGAGCCGGGTGCTGCCTGTCAGTGATACGAAGCAAACTGAATAAGCTTGTACCCAAATGTCTGTATTAACTACACTTCATGACAAAGAGCTGAAACAGCTTGACTTTTGAGGGTGTTGCTAATCAACACATGGGGTTGTGTGAAACCCAGATGCTTAGTACTGGGAAAGGACATCCAGGACAGCAGTGACAATCGTCTAATAGATGTTGGTGCAGGCTCCCTGAGGAACCCTGCTCCAGTGAATGTCACTGGCTGCTCTTGACAACAAGGAGAAATTGGTCTGGAGTACCAGGAGAATTCACGCTTGAACTTGAAACAAAGAAATAATTGAGAAAGGAAAGGGGAGAACATGAGGTGGGTTGACACGAAGATTTCTTTAGACCTATAGCAATAATCAAGAGGAAACATGGGAAGAAGAAGAATCACCGCAAAAGCGTTACTGTCAATGGAGGCTGGAGTGAGGGGGCACAAATAAATCAGTTTACTAAAAGAATGGTCAAAACAGAGGGGGAAAAAAAAAAAAAAAAAGATAATTGGAGGCTGTGCAAGCTGTAATGTAATTAATTGGGCAGTACAGTACTGAAGCAGTACAACCTCTAAACTGGGGTAGCAACACCCAAGTGTTCCCACGGTCTCCCAGGCTGGTTGCTGTCCTGCTTTAAAGTCCATGCTGCTGCATCTCTGCTGCCGTTACCTGCGTGGCTGGGTTGTGGCCAGGCTGGGAGACACCTGTTTTCTGGTACACTCACATTGTGTTTTCACCGCTAGGACACACTTGCCAAGATTGAAGTTGCATCAGCGCTAGGTGTGTTCCTTGCCTTCCTCTAACTCACCTTGTCATGGTGTGTCGCATCAGATGAGACTGAACACGCATGCACTCTCTTGCTGTCTAAAGGCCCTTTCTCCCTAATTCCACATTTCAATTAGCAAATAAAAAATACTTCGTTTTAAGAAGGTCAGTAATTAGAGCGTATCATAAGAAACATGAGTGTTCAAAAGAATAGGCCAGCCTAGAGGGCAGCGAATGGGCTGATGTACCCTATCCTGGTGCCAGGATGGAGGACACGAGGTTTCACCCCAGGGCAAACCAGGCAGGACACCTATGCGACCTATGCAGATGCTCACAGAGGGACCAGGATGCAGCAGGCAGCACCTCTAGCCTTGTAGCTGTGACAGGCGTCACTGGCATTCACAAATTCAAGATCAGGTGAGGCCAAAGAGGGCTGCTGCCATTTATTTTCCAGCAGGTGACCGCGTGGCAGCCTGAGGACCTCTCACAAGAGGCTCCTGACAGCTCTGCCCGCATTTAGTCCAGGCACACGGGCCCCTGCCACAGCTCCAGCATCCCCTCTGCCGCACGGAGCCACGGGGCTGCCCTTCCCCAGGGGCTGCTCCCCACCACCCACATCCCATGGCAGTGCCTCGGAGGCGCTGCCACGTTGCCGCCTCCGCAGTGGCGCAGGGGACACCCTTCGCTCAGGGTTGCTGGGGTGTGGTGCCCACCCACAGCCACCCGGCTCGGGAAAAAAGGTGAGTTTTTGCGTGAAAGAAGCAATGCAGCACCACGCTCAGCCAAGCAGCTTAGTCCGAGGTCGTTCAAGATGCAAGAAGACAGCAAGGCGCCTCTCCTCTCCTTGCCAGCTGTGCTCCCATCGTGTTTGCTTTGCTCTCCAGCCTCTCAAGGTGTGTGGGTTTTATCAGAGATGGAAGCGCTGCGCCTGGGCTCTGCCACCAAGCACGGCGTCTTTCGCTGACAAGGCTTTCTCTCTTTGACAGACTTGCCTGCCAAGGAGAAAAAAACATGGCCAAACAATTGCTTGGACTGCAATTTTTGTACAACCCCACAAACACCTTGCTTAGGGCTCTGTTGGGTGGTCTCTGTTGTATAGGGAGCATGAGGCTCGAGGCCATGGCCCAGGAGGAAGTTTACTGTCTGTGTTGCTCTTTCAGGTTCACACGGGGCCCAGTGCTACTCCTCTGTCTGGTGTTGGGAGTTGCCCAGGGCAGGATGGCTCAGGGTGGCAGCGAGGGTTTGTGAATGACACCGGCTGTGTCTCCTAATTTGGTTTCCACAGAAAGGCTGGGTCAGATGGCTGTGTAAGTGTGTGTGATCCAGGCTAGGGGGTAAAACCACATTCTTACGTACTGGATCCTTGCCTTCATCTAAGGTAGGTACATTCACCTGACCCTTCTCAGGGTGAACCACTGCTTGTGTCACTGGCATGATTAATGTGTGGTCAGTCCTGAGGATTAGTTAAATTGGTCCTGCTCCTACCACATTCACCTAGTCCACTGCAAGAAAAGTTTCCTATTTCTTCCAGAGGACATGGAGTGAAAACCAAGCATCCATCTGGACCACTCAGGGCAACAGCCCTCATGCAGAGAGGGTTGCTCCTGCCCTACCTGGGCAGAAGATGGCGATGGCTTTGCCTCGTTGGCTCTCGTGCTCCAGGTTCCCTGGGCAATGTGCTTCCCTGCGCCCGTGGGCTGGACATGCTCACTTACCTGCCCTGGAGGTCTGCCCACAGGCACTCGCATCTCCTCTGCTTTCAGTCCAGAGGCTCATTTTCCAAAGGTTTGGGTGTGTTTCTTGCCAGACTGGCGTCTGTCCCACCTGCTGGGGTAAGTACAATTGGGTGTGGGTCCCTAGACTTCAGGCCGTCACCCACAGCTGGCCTGCCCACCTGGGGAAATGGGCTCTGACACACCAGCCAGGTGATGTGGCAAGCTCAGCCCAGGGAAATGGGGGAAAGTGAGGCACCTGTGGGAGCTGGGTGCTAAGTGGCCCTGCCTGGGCTAGCATGTGCCTGCCTGGGCTAGCACATGCCTGGTGAAGGGGCTTGCACCTCTTGTGCCTCGGGGAGTATGGTCCTGCCAGGCTGAGACTGCATGAGTGGGGCAAGAGGAGCCTTATGGAAACAGTTCTCCAGGGACTGAAGGATCCCTGCTGGGGCTGGGAAAGTCCTTGTGTCGAAGGTAGGCAGGTGGGAATAGGGACTTAGGGCTATAGGGCAGGGGGAGCTATGGGTAGGGATGGGGGGAGCTCAAGGGCTCCCTTGGGCTGCCCATGGGCTCCAGCAGGGCAAACACAGCCCAAACAAACAGGTGAGAATAAGAAAAGAGCTTATCTGTGGGGAAGGAAGCAGAAATTGTGCCTGCATCTTAAAATGGGAGTAAGGGGAGAAATGTCTTCTACTTGAGAAAGCACTGAAGAGCTTTTTGTAGCACACTGTAGGATGAGATATGACAAGCTGATGCTTCCCGTGTGATCCAGTTACTTAATGCAATGTGCAGCCCTTGGAAGTGTTAGTGCTTAACCATGACTGTTAAAACATTAAAAGGCTAAACTATAAATAGCTTCTACTTTTCAGCAGCTCCAGAGCTATGTTTCTGGCTTCTTTATGTATTTATGTGTATGCATAGAAATGTGTGTGTATACATATATTTAAAGGCAAGCAGCAGACAACAGAGTTTTGTGAAATAGTCGTACTGAATATCTGAAATGATACCATTTCTAGTTTACACTACTAGCAGAAACAAGTAGTGTGCCCTCAAAAATACCCCTGCTAG